CATGGGCACTGGTGGCCATGTCGAGAAAGAGCGACACGTACTTTCGACTGAGCAGGTTGACGCCCCGTGGGTGCAGCTCCAGGTGAAACTGCGCCGTCTCGCCAAAGGTACGAAACAGCTGCTGCTGATGCTGATGCTCGGCGTCGCCAAAGTTGCTGGAGTAGAGCACCGGCCGGCGCTTCCGGTAGTCGTCCTCCAGCAGGTAGTTCAGCTTCTCAATGCGCCACAGATGACTGAAGGTGCTCACTCGAGCTGGCGCAATATTAGGCCCAGAAAGTCGGCCAAACACCGCCTTCTGCAGCCAACCACGCTCACTACCAGGTCGAACGACTAAATCGCGAAAAGCCTTAGTCAAAAGGTCGTTATTCTGCAGCACTGCCTCGGTGATTTGCCTGTGAAACAGAAGGTAAAAAATCAATTTTATAAAACAACCAAAACTTTTGTTTGACACACAGAGACATACCGACGGATGAGGTTGAGTGCCTTCGCCTTCAGTCGGTTAGCGTTGTGCTTCTCCGCCAGACTAAAGTGTTCCAGTGCCGACTCCGGGGCAGTCAGCTGCGAGCAGAGGTACTGCTCGCACAGGCTTTTCAGGCTGCCAACTTGGAACTGGTTAGTAGTAGGGGGAAAAGTATAATGATCATTACAAAAAGAAAACTTCTTTCTAGAAACTCTACTTTTTCAGCGAGTGGCAGCAGAGCCCTTGCATGGGCCTCCAGCGAGGCGGTGCTGAGTGTGTCGGTGTAGAGGTACTCCAGAAACTGGTGAAAAACCTCATAGGAAACCTCCTCGTCGCTGAGTCTCACCCGCTGCAAGCTGCCGTCATTTTCAAAGGTGCTCAGCAGGACGGGCGACTTCATGGCGATGATGTACTTGTTGGCGGGCATCTCCTTCCCCTCCACCACGAAGACCACGTCAGAGAGCTTCTCATTGAGAAAGCAATCTCGGTAGGTGTCACTGCTGCCGGAGGTGGCCAACATCGGCAGGTCTTTGTTGAGTTTAGAGAAGGGCGGCACGATGATTACCTGGGCGGAAAAAGAGTTAATGAAAAGCTGTTTCAAATGTCAGTCCACGCAGTAGAACACACTTCACAGTTCACTTTGAGCTCATCCCCTTCGAGCCAGCAGTTGAGCGGATCCAGCAGCTCTTTGCGTTTGATGAACTGACTATAGCCCCATGTGCTGGTTCCACGGCCGTTGAAGCAGTGCAGTGACTTGTTGGCTAAGGAAAGGGATCAATTCAATTGAAAAGAGTTCATTTCTTAGGCACGAAAACAACTTACCGCCAATAAATTCCGGGCCCACGCTGTCAATAGTAAACTTGATGTACGCCTCCACCATTTCAATGTTTTCATTTGGCTGCATCTCCAGGAACAGCGCCACGTAGTCCGGGTGGTTGCCATCGCCTCGTGGATAGAGGACCATGCGAAACTGAGCCGGGGAGCCGACGTCGGCGCCAAAGTACGGCGAGCGAACCGCTTCTCGACCGAGGCTGGAAAACTGGCCAATCGTCCAGTCGGTGCCAAAGGAGACCAAGGTCGACGTGCTGCTGGGAATGTCATTAAGGCTGGACATCGCTTGAGCAGTGCTTGAGCTGGAGGAGGAGGGAGAGGAGGTGGAGGTGGTGGAGGAGGTGGTAGTGTTGCCCATTCTCGCAGGCAAAACAATCCGCCTGAGAGTCGACCAGAGGTTCAGTGGAGAAAGAGGGCGAAGGAGGTGAAGAAGGTGGGCGGAAAGGGGAAGGTGCCACCCTTGAGAAGGCGACTGCTGATGCTGATGCTGCTGATGATGATTAGGTTGTCTGCCGGGCTGCACTGGCTGCCGGTCATCACCATCATCACTTTCCATTTGGATGAGCTGTGCCTACTCGGCTCTGGTCGCGTGTTTTAGAACAACAGCACTGGCTGACTGACTGACAGCTGTTTACCGCTGTGACACACTGTAAGAAAGAAAGCAAACTGACATTGGGAGCCGCGACATTAGCGCCCGGCGAGCGCACTGGTTGCCTGGCTACCTCGCAGCAGCTTACGTCAGCTTAGGTGGAAGCGCCGTTTGCTCTGGCCTTGATCGATTGGGAAGAAAAATGGTAAATGTTAGAGGCGAGAAAAAGCGTGAGAGCAGCTTAGAGAGGGGATAAACATTCGATTGTACGACGGCGGCCGCCGGTGATTGATGAATCACACTCATACACTCATCATTGGCGGATGTTGGTGTTTATGTTTCTCTGCAAACAAATCTATTCCGTCGCCAAACAAATGACTGCCAGCAGTAGCACGACTGGGCAGAGTGAACGTTCCAGTAGTTCGACTGAGACTTTACCATCGCCCTCCTCCTCCTCTTCAGAGCTTCTAGAGACAGTACTGGATCCGCTGGTTGCAGAGAGAATCGCCCGCCTGAAGCTGCTGAGAAAACTGCAAGAGTATGAGAGAAGGTGCAGTAAAGAAGGTGTCGAAGTTCAATGTCGACTCATTGAAAACGGGCTGCTGGCCTTCATTGCCTCAACGGCACTCATTGAACAGCTGGCGGGGCCGTCATTGCGGACACTTTTGGTGCTTCTTGAAGATAAGCAGGAGGAGGAAAAAGAAGAGGATGACAGCTACTACCAGAACTACATAGAGCCACACGTAAGTACTTTACTGCCAGTACTGCTGAGGTAAATGATGCTTGAACGATGATCTTTTCTTGCTCGTGAATGATCTTCAAAATTTTTACTATCTTTTCACCAGACTTATCTTCACCAGCAGAAACCAAGAAGTGATGAGATTGGCACTGCGCGCCCTGTGCTCAATGACAGCCAAGCAGAGTCGATACACGGCAACCATCGCCGACGCCCTGGAAAGACGCCCCTTTCTGGTTCAGCTGACGTACCTCTGTCGGCGGCCAAGTCGTCGAGTGAGCATCGCCGTCTCTGAGCAGGCGACCACTCTGGTGGGGAACATTCTTCGCTACAGCTGCAACTGCTCGGCGGCAAACTTTCTCACTGAGCGAGTGGGGGTGGTCCAGTTGAACGATGAGGAGGAGGATCACTTGCAGACCGGGCAATCAGCGAGAGAATCCGGCTCAGGAGGATACCACTGGAGAGAAGAAGACATTTCATCAACTTGTTTCCACCGCTGCTGTTGCTGTCCACTGCTCTGCCTTATCGCCTGTGTCCTTCTGCTGCTCAGTTTGAGTGGGGCGCTGCTGGACAGTTTGCAGTGATAGGCAGGCAGGCTCAACAATGACTCAATGTCAAGTTCTGTCTTTTTCTGTTATCTCGTTGCGTGTGCTACGTTACGTAACACAGCGCAATCTCGAAAACGGCCGTTTTGAGCCGCTCGATTCTTCTCTTTCTTCTTTTCTGCCTGACGAAGCACGCGGTGCACGTGGTCCTCTTTCGTTCCATTCAGCTGTGAAAAGTTCTCCGGTGTGTTCTGCGCCTGATTCTACAAGCCGATGGCCAAGAAGAAACGATCAAGCAAACTCCAACATGCTCGGCCCTGCTCTGTGAAGCCCGGTGGCTCGGTGTACGACTTTGAGGACGGTGATGGCGATGGCGACTCGATGACCGCCCACGACGTCCAGTCCCTCTGCTCGAGCACTGGACGCAGCAGCTCACGGGACACCAGCAGCAACTGCCCGGGTAATGGCGATTCCGAGGAGAGCTCTGAAGGAGGCGGCGGCTCCCTCCTGAACGACTACGACGACTTTGAGGAGAAGCTGGACGCCCTCCTCGATGGCCTGCACCTGGACCGCAAGGGCGCCCTCAAGACGCGGCTGGGCCAGCTGACGAGCCTCTCCAAGGCGATGGCCACTCGATTCTGTGCCGAGTACTTCACTGAACGGTGAGAGGGTTTTGGTGTTGCGGACTTCGATTTAGACTAATGTTTTCCTCTTCCAAATACAGCCAACTGACCATGCTGGAGATTGTGGAGCGCTCGCTGAAGCGCTCCGAGGAGGAGGCCGACTGCGCCGCCCTGGTCCTCTCCGCCCTGCTCATCACCATGGCCGCCGACGCGGACGACTTCTGCGAACACCTCTTTCCGCCCCTCTACGAGCCGCTGCTCCGCCTGCTGGCCGACCACACCGCCAAACCGTCCGCCCGGGCCAGCTGCGCCCTCGCCCTCTCCCTGGGCGTCTTCATCACCCACTTCGGCACGGAGAAGGCCGACCCGGTGATGCGCCACCTCATCGCCATTGTCTCCTCCTCACCAGTTCGAGGCTCTTCTGGTGATCCCACCGCCCTGTACGCCCTGAAGACCACCTGCCTGACCATGTTCAGCTTTCTCGCCTCCGACAATGCCGGTGCCACCTCCACCTCCTCCTCTTCCTCTTTGATCCACCAGCTGAAGGGCTGCTTTGAGGCACCTCACCTTCCACTGCGAGTTGCCGCCGGGCAGTGTGTGGCGCTGCTCTTTGAGCAACACAACTACGACGACGATGAGGAGGAGGACGAAGAAGTGGAGAACACGTTGAACACCCTGAAGGCAGAGATGAGCCAGCGGATCGCCGCCCTGGCCACCGACAGTCAGAAGTCGCGCTCGAAGAAGGAGCTCCGCGAGCAGCGAGCCGCCTTTCGCCAGGTGCTGGCCACACTCCAGGGCGAGCACTTCCACCGGCAGACGGTGACCATCGCCGGGCAGCAGCAGCTGGCGATTGACTGCTGGCAGTGGAAGCACCTCTACGACGCCTTCTGCGGCGTCCTCGGCTCCGGCATGCGGCTGCACCTCTCTGAGAATCCCTTCCTCCGCGAGGTTTTCGACCTGGGCCCAGTGCCGCTGCTCAAGGTGAGCGAGCTGCCGCCGCCGACCAAGGCCTCCAAGCTGGAGAAGCACCTGATCAACAGCAGCAATCGACGGGCTCGTGAGATGGGCCGAAACAAGGTGCGCGGCAAGAAGGCGGCCGAGCTTCATCGTTGGGACTAGCTAGGAATAAGAGCTATCAGGAAGCTTTATTCTTGAACAGTGTTTTCCTTACATAATCTTGATTTATAAAATTTTAAAAGATTAAAGGATGATGATTTTAAACGAGAGGATAACTGGCCGAAGAGGCGATGCCACAGGCGTTGAACTTGTTTCGGACCATGCGCACGTAGCCACCTTCTCCCCAATTGGTCGACCAGCTGTTCTTGACAATCCAGTAGTCTGTTCCGTTCTGGGTAGTACCATAGCCCACGACCAAAACTGCATGGTCCAGATTGGTGCTGCTGCAGCTGGGTTCGTCGTACACGCCAGAGCTGAAGTGTAGAATAACAGCGTTAAAGTGGTAGAACACAAAAAAATAGTTATCTAAACAAACCTGTAAAACATGAACGAATCCTGACTGGCATCAATGGCCACAGATATCGGGCCCACAGTGGCTACAGCTTCTTTCAACTTTTGCTCATCGCCTTGAGGAATGTCGACGTAGCCAGTGTCGATGGCGCCAACATTTTTCTTTTTGTAGCGACACTTACCTTCCTGTTTCATTTAAAGTAAAAATTTGTGTAAAGAGGCTTTTTTGCTAGAAACTGCTAACCTTGCTCTCATATGGATACTTGGCCTCGGTGTCGATTCCACAATTGATCTTGATGTACTGGAAGGCATTGTCCATCAGTCCGCCATTACAACCATCGTTGCCGTATTTCTTATTTGAGCAGTCAACCAGGTTTTGCTCACTGAGCGACACCAGCTTGCCTGTTTTGCGCGAGTGTTGACCTTCTAGGGCGCCAGTCTATGGAAAAGTATATGAAATTAGTTTGCTTAGACTATCAGATTTTACTACTTACAGCACTGAAAGCGTAGCAGGATCCACAATCGCCTTGGTCCTTTACTTTAGTCACCATCTTTAGTTTATTTTGACGCCAATCAACAGATTCGGGAATTTTGGCGTTTTCAGGCAATAGGAAGAGACTTCCATTGGTCGAGTTTGCCTTCAGGTGGAATTTGTAGCCATTCATGACACGGGCAAACTCATGATGCAATAGGTCGCCAAAGCGGTTCATTTTGAGGATGTACGACTTGCGTCCGGCCGCCGCCAACCGATTGTGCTTGGCAATTTTGTGCTTGTTCTAGTAAAGGAAAAAACAGATATGAAACCAAGTCAACCAAAAAAACGCAAAGCTTTTTTACTTCAGTGAAAACCGACAGGCGAAACTTGTCCACGCTTTCATTGTAGTAATTCTTCTTGTAGAGTGCCTTGAAAGCATTCCATTCCTGCACTACGACATCACGATAGCTCAAACTGGCTGCAGCGGCCAGCGAGAAGATGGCAAAAACCAGGCCGGCGAGAATATATCGAGACTTGATCGAAGTCATCCTGCTGGAGGCTCCTTGGAGCGAGATTGGAAATGCGAACGTTCTTTGGAGAGGGAGGAAAAGCGCGAGATGTTCTTCGAGCGAGAGCGCAAAACCGAATGAGCAAGAAACGATGATGAAATCATCAAAAACGACGCAACAGCGGCGGCGGCGCTGAAAGATCAGCCGCTCACAAACAACGTAATCAAGAGATAAAAATTTTTTCAACAAAAAGTATCTTATCATTTATCAGAGTCTTC